TCCCCAAGGTTTCTAAATATAATGTGCATGTATTTATAGGTAGATATATATTTACATGGTTAAGATCAAATCCTACATACAATTTTATATCTTATTTATCACTTTATAAGTGTACAATTATATCATTAACTCTTTGCAACCATTATACTTTATGAGTGCATAATATTTTATGGCTCTACTATAATTTACTTAATCATTCCCTTGTTAGGAATGCTTATGTTTATAATATTTTTCTATTACAAATCATACTGTAATGAAACTTCATGTTTAATATCTATCTTCATTTACATTATTCCCTTGTGATAAATTCCTAGAAGGGTAATTACCCTGTCAAAAGGTATGAGCAGTTTTTAGTCTCTTGATAGTGCTAAATTGCTTTCTAGAAAGGTTGAACCAATAATACTCCCACCAGTAACATGGGGAACTGCCTTTGTATTTATACTACTCAGCAGAAATGAAAACATACTCTTGCCTTGCCTTTTTTGAGTAAAAGTTAATGGAAGTTAGCAATCTCTCCATCGTTTTTTAGTAGAGTAAAATGTGTAAACTATGTGTTGACTGAGTCAAGCTTCATTTTTCTCAGGAAAAACTGTTTTTAAATACTGCATCTGGAGGGTAATGGAATGTGCCTGATCTTTTGTGTAGTTGTGGCCATATGTAGGTCATGCTTGCTTACCATGGCCCTTTCCAGTAAGCTAATTGCACTTGAGACAAATTACTAGTCCGGTGGAGTTCATGTACTATTTAGTGTCTCCTTTATACGCAAAACTGAAGGAGATTGAAAGGAAAGACTGTTTAAGCAATAAGAAAATTCATTTCTAACATTTATTCGATGTTTTACTAGTTCATAGTCACTGTGCTTGATACATAGTGGTGCGATCTATAACCGTATAATAAGATGCCTCAGATACCTTTTTATTTTTATTAATTAAATTTATTTTAACTTAATTTTTAAAATAAAAATTGTATATGTTTAAGATATACAATACGATGATTTGATACACATATGCATAGCGAAATGATTTCTACAGTCAAGCTAATTAACACATCATCTCCTCACATAGTTACCATTTTTTGTATGTATAATGAGAGTACCTGAAGTCTACTCTCTCAGCAATTTTCCCGTATTGAATACAGTATTACTAACTATAGTCGTGTTGTGCATTAGAGCTCTAGGCTTACTCTTCCTACTGACTGCACCTTTGTCGCCTTTGACCAATATCTTCCCATTTTCCCTACCTTCTTTCTACTCTTTGCTTCTATGAATTAAACTTTTTTAGATTCCACATATATGTGAGATTTTAACTAGACTTAACTTGAAGTAGAAAGAACATTTACCTGGCAATGAGACCTCTGGGTTCTGTTACCACCTGTGACTATGATTGATCGGCTGAACATCCTTGGAAACACAGCTAATCTGTGACTTGGTGTCCTTATCTACAAAATGTGAGCTTTGGACTAAATGGCCTCTGTGGGCCTTTCTATGTTTCTATTTTTTTTTTTTTTTAATTCTGCTGAAGATTGAATATCTCCCTCTGTTTGTATAAAAGTTGAAATTACACTTTTTGAAGCTAGTTTGTATATTAAGATATATTCTTGGGAATCAGTTTTGATTGTTTTGGGTATATAATTCCCATTTTTCTTATATGAGGGTCTAGATCTGCCCTGTCCAATATGGTAGCTACTAGTCACATGGAGCCATTTAAATTAAAATTAAGTAAAATTAAATACAATTAAAAATTAAGTCCCTCAACTGGGCAATATAAGTTAAGTGTATTATGAAGAGGATCAAGTTTAATTTTTGTACTAGAGATAGGCATTATTTTCTGTATTTCATACATGAGAAACTTGAGGGCCAGAAAGGTCAATTAATGTGTCCAAGGATAACACACAGCACCTAAGTGGCAGACTTAGGGTCATACCCACATGGAGGTTTCTGCAAAGTGTGATCTTTTGCCCATTCTGTTGTATTAATTCTTCTTGCGATTGATCTCACTGCCTCTTGTGTACCAGTGTTAGCATATTTAATATCCACATTGTACTTTTGTTACTTTTAGTGGCTTTATAATTGACATATATTTGTGACTAGGAAGATATGCTTAATAGCATGGAAAACTTTTTAGAGGTAAGCTAGAACAGGGCTCAGCAAACTCTTTCTGTAAAGGACAAGATAAGTATTTTAGGTCTGTAGGCTGTACAGCCTCTGGGGCAACTATTCAGCTCTGCCTTTATAGTAGAAAAGCTATCACAGACAATATGTAAACAAATGGGCTTTCCTGGGTTACAACAAAACTTTATTTACAAAAACAGGACATGGGCAGGTTTGGGCTTCGGGTCCTGTGTTAAACAATATTTCACTTCCACCATTTAGGCTAATATATTTTATTTGATTTATTGATGTATTCATTCATGTATTCATTTATATATTTAAAATGCATTGCTTTATAAAATACATTGCTCAGATAAGATAGAAGTTAAGATAGGTAACTAAGAGATGTATTTTGAATTTAATAGTTTTGGGTCTATTTTGATTGAATAGTACTTGAGTTGCTCAGAGTTCTGAACTTTGTCCATGGGTAGGAATATGAGTTTTTGCAAATTATAAGATCTACCTGAGCCTTAGTTTCTTTGTCAAATGGTAAGAATAATACATATTCTTACCGAGCTTTTGAAAGGATGACTTGGAAGACCAATGTACCGGTTAAAGAACACTGTTGGTAGTGGTGTTATTTTCCTGGGTCTCTTGTATATTCCAGATGAACTATTTCTTACAGACTTGATAAAGGCAAAAGAAAGAAATTTACTTTTCAGTTGGATGTGGGAAAACTATTGTAGTCATTATTCTTTCTCTCTAAAAGATGATAATAGAAAAATACAAGTGTTTTGAGTTGGCAGAAATGACAGTGGAGAATATATGCAGGGGATAAGCAGATAGATATAAAGTCTGAAAATGAAGACAAGAAAATGAAAGCGAGTGGTGGGTGAGCAGAACAAAGAAAGGACGTCGAATGGTGCCTATTTATGGAAACAACCTAGAAATGGGTCTGGATGTGTGAGGAGCTAGGGACTGAGAAGGAAAAGGAAGTCAGTAATGTATAAATAAGTGCATCAAAAGCACCTTTTCCAGAAGAATTCTGAACTTAGTATAGCAGCATATGCCTTTGGAAGGAAGAAATACTTTCTTGTGTTTTGCCAAGGGCAGTGGGCTAGGTAGTTAACAACCTAACAATATGACTTTGTGCTAAGATGTATAAGGTGGCATAAACATATTTAAAATTCCTATCTACTGCACTGACAAGCCATTGAACACTGTAGATGGGAAGACAGATTTCTGTTGAATCTGAGCCAAAAAACACTTTTCAAAACAACTTTGACAAAACAGTGCCATAAATGAATAAATCCAGAGAGTTCCTGAGAATCTTCAAAAACTTCTGACATGACGGCAGTGTCAGACAAAGGTGCTATGCACAAGCTTCTAATAAGCAGTGACACACACATGATAATTTAACTTGGAGCTAGATATTTTCAATTCTGTTTTTTAATCTGGTGAACTGTGCTGCCTGGCTACATACTACATATGTTTTTGATGGTCATTTGGAGCAGTATAATTCTCTCCTAATGCAGGTTAATATCATGAAGTTATGCATTTTCTTGGTGTGATTGTAGAGCCCTTGAAGTAAAATAACCACATGATTGTATGCTGTAAAGTAGCCTAATAGATGAGAATTCACAATTGTAGAAGATGGATTTGGATGATTTAAGTTCTTAGTAAATTTTTTATGAACATAGGGATATGGCATCTAAAGATTTTATAACCGGGATCCCTGAGTCAATTTAAAACTTGTTCTGTGACAGTAGAGAAAGAATACTATGTTAAGTGGTCCCAAATCCTGCAATGTTGTCTTATCTTTCCCAGTACCTTATGGTTTGGTCACCTGTATCTGGGCCTTTGATACCTCATCTGTGACATGGACAGCCTGTACTAGATGACTACCAAGGTGACTTTCATCTGTGAAATTTGGTGCTCTTATTAAATTCTAGGCATTTTTTAAAAATGATATGGTAAATATTCTGGCTTCTGGCTGCTCTGCATCCCTTTCCAAGTAAGTTTAGTCCTGCTCTTGGTTTATTGTGGGTGTGTAGTAGAAACTTGGCCTTTTACAAAATGAAAGTATAATTGATGGGATGCTGCAATGGTATCAAGTTTAAATGACATGAACAGATGTAAAGATAGAAAGGATTTATGTTTATGAAAATAATTTCAGCTGTCCATTGGTATAGTCTTTCACTTTGTGTGCTATTTCCTTAAGTTTTTCATTTTTATTTTTAAAAGTATTAAATAAAAATAACCACACACCTAAAGTGGTGTATTTTATTCGAGACGTCAAAAAAAAAAAAAATGTTGTTAATGTCATTTTGTAATTTAGTGAAATAATCCAGGTATCATGCTCTGTCAAAGGTAAGCAAAACTTTGTAGTTATGAAGAAGAAAGGCAGAAGAGATGTTCAGGATGGCTATTTCAAATATCATTGCTTCTGCTATACTTCAGAGGCGTATATGTAATCATTTGCTTCCTTTAATTAATGTGGGACCCTGCTAAAAGTCCTTTCTTTTAGATGATTTCTCTGAAGATTTTTGGACCTAAAATGTAGCAAAAAAAAAAGAAGTCATATTTATAAGTTTTATTCAACATGAGGTGCTCAGAACATGACATATCCTGATAATGGAAATTTTCTTTAAACCCAAAGATCTAAATGGCAAAGGAAGGACAACTAGAGATTAGGGATCTAAAAGTGACGTTCAGGATTCTTTTGATTTAGAGCAGTAAATATTAAGCCTCTCTCCGCAGATTTCCTTAATTGGATCTTCTGTGTATGTGGGGGAGGTGATGGAGGAAGCAGAGATGTTAGTAGGACAATGGGGAGCTGGTGGGAGACACAAAAGACACACTTTTCTCAGAGTAAAACTTGACTTGTGCTTTGCATGTATGTTCTTTTCAGAATCTGTGAAAGCAGCTTCTACAATGGTTTGTTCAGCTCTCAGAAGAGTTGCCCGCATGCGTGTCTACCTGGTTAGGAAGGCCAGCAGTGTCTCCAGAGGCCATCAGCATCAGGCCTTGGGCTCAAGGCCTGCTGTTTCAGAGTTTACTGTCAGAGGAGCTCCAGGTGGTTTGGTGGAGCTGCTTGGTAAATCCTACCCTCTGGACGACTACAGCAACCTCTCCCGGAAAGTCCTCTCCAGGGTTGGCAGAAATCTGCACAACAAGCAGCATCATCCTCTTTGGCTGATCAAGGAGAGGGTGAAGGAGCACTTCTACAAGCAGTACGTGGGGCGCTTTGGGACTCCACTGTTCTCCGTCTACGATGACCTTTCTCCGGTGGTCACGACCTGGCAGAACTTTGACAGCTTGCTCATCCCAGCTGACCACCCCAGCCGGAAGAAGGGTGACAACTATTACCTGAATCGGACTCACATGCTACGAGCGCACACCTCTGCGCATCAGTGGGACCTGCTGCACGCTGGGCTGGATGCCTTCCTGGTGGTGGGCGATCTGGACGACTACAGCAACCTCTCCCGGAAAGTCCTCTCCAGGGTTGGCAGAAATCTGCACAACAAGCAGCATCATCCTCTTTGGCTGATCAAGGAGAGGGTGAAGGAGCACTTCTACAAGCAGTACGTGGGGCGCTTTGGGACTCCACTGTTCTCCGTCTACGATGACCTTTCTCCGGTGGTCACGACCTGGCAGAACTTTGACAGCTTGCTCATCCCAGCTGACCACCCCAGCCGGAAGAAGGGTGACAACTATTACCTGAATCGGACTCACATGCTACGAGCGCACACCTCTGCGCATCAGTGGGACCTGCTGCACGCTGGGCTGGATGCCTTCCTGGTGGTGGGCGACGTTTACCGGCGTGACCAGATTGACTCCCAGCACTACCCTGTTTTCCACCAGCTGGAGGCTGTCCGGCTCTTCTCCAAGCATGAGGTGAGTCTTGAGACAGTTGTTGAAGGACAGCATGGACATTCTTGTTGAGGTCACTAAAGCTTATCTCAGTGAAACCAGTACAGTTGTCTTTTGCGTTCATGAATTATTTTTCCTTAATGCCATCCTTTGTATAGGCCGAGCCTCAATATTTTTTAACTGATTTGTTGCATCACAAACTATAGATATTGGTAGGTCTTTGTTTTCTCTTGTCTGACCTCATCCTTTCTCAAGGTTTCTTCCTAAGAATGAATGGTCAGTGGCTCAAATTTACCCTCACCAAGATGGCTAATGATACAATGCTGAAACTTATGGTCAGGTTATTCCAGTTCTCAGTTAGTAGAAGTTAATTATGTGTTCATGTTGTTAGAAATTAATGAATTTCTTATACTATAGTGAAGAAGACTGGTGGTTTATTGGCTTAGACTGTAAACTGTGAGTCATGTTGTAGGAGACAACCTTTTGTCTTAGGACGTGCTATTTTCCTGTGAATCTGTGATAACACAGTAATAGGTTATCTTTATACAAAAAGTCTATCCAAGCTTGATCTCAGAGCTACTTAGACGGGCATTCTTAGTACATGGAATATCTGACTATTTTCTAAGTTAGGGATAATGACTATTAAGGATACAGATTTATTAGGAAATGAAAGGGAAATGAACAAAGACAGGTTAAAATCTGGGAAATATGACCAGATAGATAGAATATCACCCACAATTAATGTGCTAGAAGAGATGTGATGCCAGTAATGTGATATCCAGGTCATGGCAGCGGGCAGGAGCTCAGCCCAGCTTATCTCATTAAAAAATAAAAATAAAATAAGGAAAGCACTCACTGGTTTGTAAGCTGCATGCCGTGAAAGTGGCAGTGGAAGCTCTGAGACTCACACTAGCATTTTAATGGAAGAAAAATCAAGGCTCCCTTAGAAAGTGGAAAATAAGAAGAGAGTAGAGAATTACTTCTTGTGTCATATTTGTTTTGGGTTCAGTCTGATTTAGTGGGTAGCAGGCATAGTTAATTGAATCTGATAATGTTACAGTATGTTCTGCTTTAGAGTTAAAAAAATTTACACATACATATGTCTGATGTTATCATTTAAGTACTTACATGCTTATTGTTTCATTTACTTCTAATAAAAGCCTTGTGAGATAGATTATTTCTACTTCAACCACAAGGAATCTGAAGTCCTGGAAGGTTTACTGACTTGCCCAAGGTTACCCAACCCGTTGGTGGCAGAGCTAAAACTTGAACTTAGGTCTTCTGAGTTTGTTGTTCGTTCTGCTGTATTGTGTTGCTTTTCATAAAGCTGCTTTGTAAGTGGGACCTGCTTATGACCCAAGTGGAGCATTAGTTCCTAGAATGAGGTGAGAGAAAGGGGAGGTGGTTTTTGAATTCCTGGTCTTAACTAAAGTGTTGATTGTAAGTCTGACCTAATCTTAACTCTCAAAAAAATGTTTTTTTTTCTTCTTTCAGTTTATTCCCCTATGAATAGGATTTTTTTTTCAGTAGTTTTAATTATGCTACATATGTAACTTAAAAAATCATATTGTTATGTTTTAAAGTTTTCCTGTTATTTAATCTTTATAATTATTACTTTAAGTACTATAAGGTGTATTTCAGCAAGAAGAAAAGTGAATAGAGAGGTGCGAGGTGAAAGAAACACTGGTAAACACTGAAATGGAACTATTACAATACATATGTTATAGTTGACCCTTAATAACACGAGTTTGAACTGCACAGTTCCACTTATATGTAGATTTTTAAAAATTAATACATATAGTACTGTAAATATATTTTCCTAATAACATTTTCTTTTTTCTAGCCCACTTTATTGCAAGAATAGAATATATAATACATGTAATATACAAAATATGTTAATCAGCTGTTTATATTATTAGTAAAGCTGGTCAGCAGTAGGCTAGTAATAGTTAAGTTTTGGGTCTAAAGTTGTACATGGGTTTCTGTTTTGTGGAGGGTTAGTGTCTCTAACCCCTCAGGTTGTTCAAGGGTCAACAGTATTTAACTGTTAATTGTGAAGAAAACTTTTTCTTGTTTGGGAAAAAAAGGTAAAATGTATTAGTAGTCACAAATTTAAATGGATTAAACTTACTGATTACAGACATACATTATCAGATTGGATATTTTTTAATTACAGAAACCTGAAAAAAGCCCATACCAGAGCTTGAAAGTAAGGGGCAGGAAAAAGATATATCAAGCAAATACTTACCAAAAGAAAGCTGGTACAGCAATACTAATATTAGACAAAATAGAATTTATGGAAAAATGATAGATGTGAATAAAGAGGGATAATATATCAACCAAGATGCTTTGTGAATTAGGAATTTCAATATGCCCAACATTGTAGCCTTAATGCATAAATTAAAATTGAAGAAATAAAAATTGTGTTTGACAAATTCATAGTTATTATATAGATATTAAATGACCTCAATCAAAATAAAATGAATTAAGCAGACAAAATGAGTAAAGATATAATCTGAAAACTATGATCAATAGGCTTGATTTATGTTTATTTTTAAAATTCTATAACTGTGTGTGTAGATAACACATCACACACATACGAATAAATTCTATAGTGAAGAGTCGGAAGTATACAGTCACATGGAATACTTTAAATAAGTTGTCCATGTTGACAGTTGAAATCTAAACAAATGTCAAAGAATTAATAACATAAGTAGAATTATGCCTGAGTACAATATAGTTTATGTAGAAAGTAAGAACATTTTCTTATCCTCAGACATTTGAGAATTCACAGCTATAGATTCATAGGTTAAAGAGAAATATTACAGTAAGTCACAAATTACTTATCACTAACCAGCATTGAAGATTCTCATTTCATACTGCTTAGATGTGAGGGAAAACAGTTACTTTATTTTACAGAAACTTGGTAGACCCCATTTAAATCATACGATCACAGTTAACATTAATAAAGCAAAATAGATGGGATATAGTTATAAAGGTACTTGTGGTACATTTTGTTTTAAGTATATTTATTTAAGAAAAAATTTAAACCCTCAAAATCAAAAATTAAGTGTTCAGTTTAAGATGCTAAAAGTAAGCAGCATTGTTCTGAAACATTAGAAAGGAGGTGGTTATATAGTTTTAAATAATCCCAAATCTTACAAAAACAGATACAGCCATCTGGAATAGCAAAACCCAAAACTATAGACAACATCTGTAAGAGAGCTGGGTGACAAGGTCTCTCTAAGATCTTCACAAATGTGTGGTAACTCACATCTGACAGCTGGAAGATCTGCATTGTGTCAGAAACAGAGGAAGTTAGTAGAGGAAAGCGATGGGACCTGGGAGGAGAAGAGCTTCCTTAAGGGTCTATTAGAGAACAAACTGTGGACAACCAAATTTACTAGAGGAGCTTCGACATTAAATACTAGTAATAACATTGTTTACCAATAACCACTAACATCACAAAAAGAGGGGAAGCCAGACTTATGTGTCACCTGATGGAAGAATACCATACTAAGTGTAAAGTCTTGCCAAGAAATGTGGAACTGAATATGATCAAAATCTAGATCTAACTACCAAATTTATAGAAAGTACAGAGGACAGAGAAACATGTTAAACTATGCCATGGAGATGTAATAAGCAAAATGCAGCTTGTGGGAAATTCTATAGCAATGCTACCCAGGATGTGATCTGCATCATGAAATAAATAGAATGATCAAAAGTAAGCACTTAGAAATGTTTAAGCAATATTAAGTGGTTAGAAATGTTAAAGCCATTATATTCAAGCACATTATCAGTGATCTTTTGTTGAATACCATGTAAACTGATCTAGGTGTTCTTAAACACTCTTGGTAAGTTGCATATGCTCAGTCTGTTAGTACTTATGTGCAGTAGGACCACATATCAGTTTGAGACCGATTTGGAAATCTAAAACTGTCTCTTCATCATAGAGAGTTTGAGAAGTAGTGCTCTAGAGTAAATGATTCAATTTCTTCAAATAACTTGTAAGAAAAAAAAAGAGATTGAAATGGCACCTATAGATGAAAAAAAAAAAGATCAACCAATGTGTAGATACCATCAAGAGAAAACATTTTTAAAGAAAAAAATAGTGAGACAATTGGAAATTGAACACTAACTAAATATTTGAATTTAAGTTGTTTTTTTAAAGGAATTATAATAGTATTATATTTTTATAAGTCATTTTCTTTTCAAGATACATATTGAAATACCTGTGCATGAAATGATCAGATGTCTGGAATTTTCTTCAAAATAATATGGGGATAGGCACTTGGGGATGAATGTAAGAGAACTGGTTATGAATTGTTAATTATTGAAGCTTTGCTCTGGGTGCATGAGGAATTATTATCCTTTCTGTTTTTGCATATGTTTGAAAAATTCCTAATAAAGGTCTGACGGAAAAGACTGAAGAAAAATATTGGGATCAGTAAGTCAATCAAAAAAACAGTTGCCGAATATGAACTGGATCCAGGAATGTAAGAAGGTATCAAACAGTCATGAGATGATCCATAGTTTCTTAGGGAAGAACCAAAACCAAAACCAAAACCCGGAGGTAGGAAATATTAAACATAAGAGCATACAGTGCATGCAATAGAAAACTGAAACCAATAGTCTCTCTTTATCAGTCTGAGATGATTTTACATGTGAATTTTTACGAAATCTGACTTTTACAGTCTGTTTTAGAGAATAGAAAAAGCTCATTTTATGAGGTTAGATGTGTTAATATACAAACTGAATAAAACTTTTTTGGATATTTCAGCTTTATGAACATTCTTTTTTAATGTACAGATATAGAATTATTAAGTGAAATATTTGTAAAAATTTAATTCATTGTGTATTGTGTCCTTCTATATTACTGTTATACATGTAATACATTCTACTGTATTCAACCAATACAAAAAGAAAAAGCATGTGATTACCTCAATAGATATAGAAAATAATTTATCCGCAGTTAATGCTTTATGACATTAAAAAAAGCATTTGATGACATTAATGATTCATGA